CTGGAACGTCCTCTGCAGGATACACTCAGTTTGCCACTGCGAGCAAGATACAAACTCAGAAGTAACCTCTCGTCTTTGTAACTAAATATTTAGCTCCTCCAAGTATGCGCTACGGTGTCTCAGGCCAATTCAAATACCATCGCGTGGGTCTTTTCCTGCCCCCACAGTTCTCTCTTTAATAGGACTCGGAGGGGAGGAGGATCGAACGCTTCACAAGTAAACATAGCTGGAAGGATGGGAGGTAACTAGCATTCTTCTTCTTCTTAATCATAATTACGAAACATTAGGGATGAAAAATATGGAAGCAGTTGCCTTTGCGTATCTATGTAGCTAAAGCCTCAACTATTTTTCAACAGGCAAAACAAGAGGGGAGTATTTGAAAGCCCAGGCACGGGCCAGCAGCAGCAGAGCCGGACGGGGCAAGGGGCCGGAGGGTCCAGGGCTCGGGGGTGCTGTGCCCAGCGCACCAGAGTGCTGGGGGCCTGGAACGGCGCCTGGCAAACGGAGGAGCGTGGTGCAACACGCAAGCAAAGCCAACACCCAGATGCAAGCATAATTTTCTGCGCTTTCTGACATATGCCATTACACACGTGGACTACCCCGCAGAGCCACCTCTGGAACCGCAACAGCTACGGACCTACGACACTTCCCTCCCTTCGTCATTAAAAGCACTCTTCCCACCCATGTGCTTAACATCTCCCACTTCTGTTTCTTTTTTCCTTTTGAGTGGCAATTCTGCATCAGAACCCCCAAAATAAATCACACTCTTCCCAAACCCTCCCCGGTGCAGGGTGTATTCTCCCCTAGCACACACGCGTTACTCCCGCTGACACTTGACGGGACCTGCGCACGCATCCGAGGGCTGCCTGACCTGAGCAGCTACCAAAACGTTTTCAAGATAAAGACTGTATTTAATTCAGGGGTTTTTCTTTCTGATGTTCCACCTATAACAGCAAAATCACGCACCTTTCCCAGAAGGCCACACTCCAAAAATGAACTGTACTTAGAAAAAAAAAGTGTTTATGGAGTTCAGAAATACTTAGATGGATTTATAGAAAAAAAAAAAAAAAAAAAAAAAATCAATAAAAGGACTTCAACACCAAGCAGAATTTGTGATTCCCTAGATAAAGATGTATTAATTTGTAATCGCTGTTATTCTAATGCAGGACAAGCCCTAATCAAACTAATGGCAAAATTAAAAGCAAGTCCTTAAATCCTTTAAACTGACTTTGCTTTATTCAGCGATGCCTGCGCTAGCAAAGATTTTAGATTTTCTTTTTTTGTGCACTAGCAATGGCCAATCCTAAGAACTCAGTTATTCTGCTGCTACTCACACCCACACAATATTCAAACATATACACAGTGGGCAATCTAACACAGAGGCTTGAAAACTTAGGTAAAATTAAATACTTAAAATAGAAGAAGCAGCAATTGAACAGAATCAGGAAGATGTGGGCTTCGATTAACAGTTCAAGAACCGAAACACGCCAAACGTGACAGACCTGGCAAATTCTTCTGCACCACAAAAATGGCTTCAAAACCCATTCCCAAAATCGAGCCCCAGCAATCAGCATCTTCCCCTTAGGTTACAGTGGCTCGCACTTAGCTCACGACAAATGCTTTTACTGCAGAAGCTAAGGTGAGCTGGTCAGAAATTTTTAGAGGATCTGGGAAAATTAATTTTCTTTTGGCAACTGTCCTAAAAAAGGGGGGGAAAAAAAAGAAGGGGGGAAAAAAAAAACCAACCAACTACCAAACAACCCCCCCCACTTCATTCTAATGGATGCGTATTGTTCAATTTAAGTAACAGGTATTAAATCACTTTACAAATACAATATACATTTGAGTAACTCCAGGGGAGTTTTCTTCAAAATAATTTCAGTCTTCCCCAATTCTCCCCGCTAAGGTCAGAGTCTCTAAAGCAGCATGGCTGAATTGTTTTAGTGCTCTCTGCTGAACACCTGCAAACATCAAACAAAAACTCCTGGTCCTTTACTGGGTTGACAAAAGCCTTTCATGTGAAAAATGCTCCATGGGAATGTCACGGCTGTGGCTCAGGTTACATTCCTTTCTCCCTCGCAGCCCTCACCATTTCTTAACATGGTAAGAAGCCATGTTTGTGAAATTAAAGATTAAAAGGAAATGTGGCTTTACTTTATTTTCATTCACACATTACAAATCACAATAGAGCATCATATATTAGATGAGTAAAAAGCTGTTAAGATGACTTTAAGCATGAAATATTACCACACTTCCTAAAGTACACTTAGTTTCACCTCACTGCTTGGCATTACTTTTCTTTGGGGTCTTTTTTTTTTTTTTTTTTTTTTTTTCCTCCCCCCATAAGAGAAGTTTCGGGTTAATGCAGAGGAATGACATCTGTGGTTCCCCATCTCAGTAAATATAATTTTTAAGAGAGGACCATGAAGAGAAGGTCAGCTCAAACTTCAGAAGGGCATCTGTCCAGGAGGATCGCTAAATCTGCATTCAGATCGCTAAAATTCTGTATTATCAATATGCATAATTAGAAGAATAAACTGCGTTCGGATGTTATTAATGGAGCGGTCTTTAATCCTTCCATACAGTTACAGGAAACATCTCCTGAAGCAGTTGTCCGGGCGCTATCATATCAAAGCTGAATTTCCCAAGCCCTGGCTCATTACAGCACCGCAGAGCGCAGATCCTTAGGAAGCGAGACTCTCGCACACAGCGAGCTGGCCAGCCAGAGCACGGGCAAACAAAAGCCACGCTTCTGCTCCACGCAACCCCATCTTCAGGCCAGGCGCCCACCCTCGCACCGAGGATCAGCGAGGGGCAGTTCACCCATACCGAGACTCTGACAACTTTTCTGAAATCCCCGATCGCTCGCCACAGCACTCCCCGTCTAATAACCAAGCAACAGATATTTATGGAGTAAATTCAAAATGATTTTCCCTTAGAAGAGCGCACCCTGTGCTGCGTGCCATTGTGCGAGCGATCCACCACCATACAGCACACGTTCCTTTAGCAAGCAGGGTGCCTCATCCTCCACCACCAGAGACTGGCGTCTTCAAGCGTTTCCACGTTCTTACAGCGTGGGAGGGTTCAGGTGGTGTTTTAAATGGTCTGCATCTCAATATTACTAACTTACTCCAGCTCGTTAAATTATTTGTATGTCTAAAATTATTTGTGTGTCTAAAAGGATGCCTCAAAGTTACTTTAATGCCTTCAGCTTTACAGGCAATAAACCCCAGCATAACCCCTCAATTTCACTCACTGTTTGGATTTGCTGTCCTGGGGCATTTCTGATCGAAATGACTCCATAGACGGGGTTTGCGATGCATTTATTAAATATAACTAGCTGGTCAACTGCTGCTAGCCCAAGTGGTAGCTGCTGCATTGACTGGTGTATAAGCATGACAAATTGATTTGTCTGCCACAAACACTCTTCGCTTCTCTCCAGTGAAAACAAATATAGCGAGCATCATGGATGCGGTTAAATGAGTTATTAAAATTGCCTAATTCAGAAAACGACAAAAAACAGGATTAAAATCTTTAGCTTGCGAGCTATAAGGCAAATTAGGTTTGGAAAGTTACTCAAACCTAACAGTAAAATTCTCCAAGTCACTATAGTCATAATATAACCAGATTAGTGAAGATAAAACAAAAACATGTTATTATTTTGAAAGTCTGACCAGAATAAAATTCGCAAAATAAGTGCTTAATAATTATAGGCGGCATTTGATCTAGTATCTTAAAAACGTACGTTACAGGCGACCTTCAAAGTAGGAAGCCCTTGGAAATAAAAAGCGAATTGACGTACTAGTGCATTTAATAAAAACGGCTATACTGGATACAGAGAAGAGGTTCCTTTAATTGAGCACAAACTGCAAATACCAGGCATGAAACCATATGCAATGACGTGTTTATATCTAGATATCCACTGGCAGTTTGCAGCGAAGACTTGTCCAAATTTACCATCTGATTTAGAACAGTACCCCGTGTATAACAATACTGCGTACAGTGTGGTGGTATGTGTGAGCGCCTGTGCTTTTAAAACACTGCGACTCGCTACCCGGAGATGTATTTGTGTCCTGTCCAAAACACCACATCCGCGAGGCAGGGAACCCTCTTAAACGAACTTAATGGAAGAGTAGAGAAATTTCAAATGCGTAAGGATCTTTGCTAGTTTTACTTCTAATTTGTCAGGCACGTTAAAGCCTTTATATAAAACTTTAGTTCCCAGACATTTATTGTACACATGTGTTCTACCGCAAAGAGCTCCGCGATTCCTTTTGTCATCAGGCAGGACTCCTGTCTTTATGGAATGCAGAAGTCGCCCATATAGTACTACTACAGCCAAACAAACACGCAGCCAAACAAACAAATCCTCCAGTTAAATTTCAGGGACTCCTCAAAAGCAGACTAATATTTAGAAAGAAAAAAGCCCTAATTTCCACCAGGAAGGGAAAACAAGCCTGAAGATTGTAATTCACCGAAAAATATTCCCTCAGCAAACAGTGATCTCTAATACTAAAGAGTTCTTTTCCCGGAAGAGGCTGGTGTTTATACTTGGATACTTGCTCATTTATTTATTTAATTTAAGCAGCCTTCGATTCTTATTCGCAAAATTAATTCTCAGGCAAGATGTCTTGATTATCAGTTCTGACACGCAAAAGACAGCATCTGAAATTGCACACAAAAATCTCCAATGCTCAATTGAAAAAAGAAAAAGATTTAAACTAGCTCACCTTGAGCAATTACACAGAGGGGAAGTTTAGGGTTTGGGTTCTTTAAAAAAAAATCATAAAGGTATGGAAATACTGTGAAAATGCCCCAGTCTCGTGGAAATAATAATAATCATCATAATCATAATAATAGCCAGCGCTTAGGAATAATTCCACCCAAATCTGAATGAATCTGCTCCCCAGAAGAGATTAACACAATCACAACAAAGGCAATGCCTATGGATAAATAACTGACAACGTTTTAACTACGTAGGAAACAAAAATGTTACATACTTGAGCCAGTAAAATGTCCACTTGCCAAGGAAGTTGGTCCATTTTTCCCACTGCTCACAGGAGGTGAAAACATCTAAAAAAAACAAAGAGGCATTACTACTGGAAAACAAGAGATCCCCGAGTCCACTGTTAGGCAAAAGTTCCTTCCACATTCGCTGTGAACTACGTTAACAGTTTGTCCACCGCGAGCCATCGTCCCCCACAGACCTGCAAACGAGGCAATATTTCTTACAGCCCCCACCAGCCCCTCACCACCACCGTCACGTTTTTATTAGGCTCATTAGCTCCCCAAACAATATTTGCTTCCCGAAGAGTTTGAGCCATCCCAGTCCCCAGCAGCGTTATCCAGGCTGGGAAGCGGGGCTCGCTCCCCTCTCCAACTCTCGCGCTGACAAAGGCGAAAAAAGTTTTTTTTGTTGAAACCTTGGCCATAAACGTAGCAATGTCCATTTCCATCCCGCTTTAGGATTTGCCTGTCATACGTGAGCCCAAATAATGACAATGCAAAGTGCCACCTGCCCTAAATTCTCATTTCGCCTCTAACACGAGAGCAATTTGAAGCAAGGCTCTCTCCCTCTCCCCCTCTCGCTCCCTCTCGCTTGCTCCCTCTCTCTCTCCTAGCATTTATTTCGACCCTAATTGGTTTCTCTCTTCTTCGACGTGTCTAGTGGATAATACGCACCTTCCCTGAGTCAGAGCCTGCAAAAAGCGAAGGAACAAATGGAAAAAGTGCAACAAGCAAAGAGGGGGCTGCAAAGCTGCCTCAGGTTTGGTTTTTGCGGGGTGTTGCTGGTCTTTAGGAACACACATGCATCTCCCAGCAAACCGATTCTCCCCTTAAATAAATAAATAACCGGATAGATAGATACTCCTGACATATTGGGGGGGAAGGGAGGGGATGGGGAGAGGAAGGAAGGGGCTGGGAGGGGGAGCCTGACAAAACTAGACAAGTGCACACGTCCGGATTAACGTTTGGCCTCCAAACCAGCCCGGCCAGAGCAGCCCGAAGAGACAGAAAGTACTTTTTTTTTTTTTTTTTAAAATTAAAAAAAAAAAAAAAAAAAAAAGCCCCGTCTAGCTGGGGGGCTTCGGCAAAGATTGGAGCAGTTTTAATGACAGCAGAAGCCATATGAGATTTCAGTGAAAACTTTAAAACTGAGACAGTCATGGATTTCTTTGCACTTTCCATGTGCCAAAAAATGAAACAAGGGAAGAACTGAAAATAGAATATAAGCAACTAATTAGCAATTAATTAGTTCATGTGCCAACAACGCTATAAAACGTAAAGCACAATAAAAGTGCTAGATATTGGTATTAACTAATGATGAGAAATGTTCGTTCTTAGGGGCGTCTCTTTTTGTACGCATTATTTCAGCCATCCAAGACATTAAAATAAGCTGCAAACACGATTGCATCTCCCATCACATACAATAAGAAAGAATAAAAAGGCTCTAATTTTTGGTTTTCTTTTTTCTCTTTTTTTTTTTTTTTTTTAAAAGCAAAAAAGATATTTACCATGGTTCTAGCTGCTGATTAAAAATTGCCCAATGTACTTAGATCACAGTTTTGGTTTGGTTTTGTTGGTTTGGTTTTTTGGTTGGGTTTTTTTTTTTTCCAGTTTAACAGATCAGCTAGAAGATATTTTTTTACAGCTGTTGTTAATTTCCACCGTTGTTTCTTACCGCACTGAAATCCAGTAAATCACTCAGTTCTTTGTCCGTCCCTAAGGCAGCCATTCGCTGTTGGTGATGCATTTTAGCAAAATCACACAAACCTAGAAACATGGAAATAACCGCAATCAGAAACCCAGTCCCGAGCCTTGCAGGAAACACAATCGGATTTTTCAGGGGGTGGGGGGGTCGGGGGGTGG